AATTTCTCTCTTCTGGAGAGAGTACTTCAAATTCGACTTCAGTTGTTTTCATATAGTATATTTATAACATATATATGCGGCGGAACTTTGACCAGATACAAGGCCTGGAGGCCAGAATTTCTAGGAGGCCGCCAAAGTCTCAACATGCCATCTCTCATTTCTATTGATAGTAAAGTCACAATTTTTGGCTCAGGCGACACCTTTCAGATGTAGATAATACCTTGACATGAATTCGCCATCTTCCAACCCCGGTGCATGGTGTTATGAGGCAAAGAGAAAGGGAATAGGGGCAATTTCCAAATGCGGCAATACCGGTTTTCACATCACTGATTTCCGGCAGGGTTGCCGACCACCAGTGTCTTTCTTCCTTTCTTCTTCCTTCCTTCTTTCTTCCCCATTCTGTCTTCCCCATCTTGATTCCTTTCTTTCTTTTCTTTCCTTCTTTCCCTCTCGTCTTGCTGCCGTTCTCCCTTCCCATTTCTTCGCCGTCTCTTACTTTCGTTCTTTATTCTCTATCCTTTCTTTTTTTCTCGTCTTTCTTACATTCCCTGCAGCGCACCCACGCCCCGCCCTGCGACCACCAAACGGATGACGCCGTCTCGCTCCGGGGACGACACCGACGAGTGCCGAACGCGACGTGCGAGTAGAACGCACGAACGAGTGAGACGAGACGAGGGCGGACGGGCGCGCGAGTCGAACGCACGAGCGAGTCGAACGCACGAGCGAGTCGAACGCACGAGCGAGTCGAACGCACGAGCAAGACGAGACGAACACGGGAGACGACGAATGAACACGCGGGAGACGCGCCGGGGACAAACGAGCGAGACGAGCCGCGGACGAACGAAGAGACGAGGACAAACGTGCGAACGAACGCTGCGAGACGATGACGAGGACGAACGCCGCGGACGAACGCACGAGGGTAGTCGAGGACGAACGAACGCGCGGGACGAAGACACGGGACGAGGACGAGTCCAAGTACGTATCAGTGCCTTTGAGACGAAGACCCGACTCATCTACCCACCTATAGGAACAACCTGCAGCGCGACGAGCGAGCACGTCACGGGAGGCCAGGACGTGCGCGGGAGGACGTACGCGGGGGACGTACCTACCCATTCGTTCGTTCGTTCGTCCGTCCGTACGGTGAGTTCCGCCTTGCCTATCTATCTATATCTTTCGGATTCCTTCTCTGATTCTTACAACTAATGGGACGTTCGACCCAACGCGTGCGTGCCCTCGACACGCGACCCGACGACGTGCGCGTCTCGTCGTGAGGAATGCGGAGCGTGCCGTGCTCGAGAGGCCCCAGCCGCGCTCCAGAACGTGGCTCGACGGCCGACTCCCCTCCTCTCCGCGCGTGGGCGTAGGTAGCTACGTGAACAAGTTAGGCGCCGATAGATTTATCGGATTCGAAGGAGGGACGACTAGAATATTTGTGTAATAGATACACAAATATTTTTCGGGCGGAGCGAATGTGCGAGATTTTGTGGTGTTTGTGGGGGACTTGGCTGAGGTCGCTTGAGATCGTGATTTTCCGACCGCATGGGAAAGCGGCCGGGAGAATCCGAAACGGTAGCGCGGACTCAGCCAAGCCCAGGACACAAGAACCGCCGGGGTCTATGAGCGAAACGAAGACCGGAGGCAGCCCAAGCGTAGAAAAGAGGGACGGCGGGTGGGGCAAAAAATTGGACGAGAGGCGAGTGAGGAAGAACTTGCTAGGCTTGAGGACGACGGACGCGACGAGCAGCGGATGTCGGGCACGTGATATATTGATCCTATCTTATCTTGCCTAACTTGTCTCACACTCAGGCTGGCTTGCAAGCTCGCCTCGCCTGAGCTAACAATAAGCTACGTACCCGCACGTCCCTCGGGCCGCGGAGGAGTTGAATATTGAATATTGAACATTGAATACCATAGCTGAGTTCGACGCGTTGGTGAAGATAAGCAATCGGTGAGCTGGGGAATTGAGAGACGCTACGCGGAGTCGGGACGCAAAGCTGAAAGTAAAAGATAAGTCTCGTGAATATGATACGAACGCCCCGGAGTCGAGTCGAGACGGGGCGGGGGTTCACAACTAAGTACCTTGACCCGCGTCTGTCTGGTGGTGTAGCTGACCCAAGTCGGGATGGATGCCTGAAAGGATAGTCAGTAAGTTCGACACCCGAGTTGTGGTTGACTCGAGACTGTTCCTACGGCTGGCGCGAAGCAAAGATAGATCTGATTATCGAACGCAGGAGGCATGCACAATATAAGGAAAAGTGTCAACCAAAATGATTTTCGATCGACATGCAAGTGATAGCCCGTGTCCGAGTCGAACGGATGTCCTCTGGTTTTGTGCATGGCCCTACTCGATGGAGGTGTGAACAGGGGACTACGGAGCTTTTCTGGTGCTGGTAAAGGTCTGGGTGGAGTCGAATCGGAGTCGGGCGTCGTCGCACCACTCAACTTTTCAAGTGGACATGATCCTGGTTTCAATTTAGTTTAGCACATCCAGACTCCGGGATTCGTAACCCTTCCACCCGCACCACCGACATTGATATATAAGCACCAGCTTGAACTTGAAAGGCGCGCGAAGTACATACTACAGACAACAAAATAAAAATCAGTAGCGTTAGCGGTCATGGCTCGTGCCCGACTCGAACGGGCAACTCCTGCTTTGCTCTCTGTGCATACGTAGCCTCTTTCCGTAGGTGTGAGCAGGTGTGGACCCACCAAGCCTTTCTAGTACTGTTCTCCATGTGGAATATTCTCCTAGACAAAGTGGTAAGTCAGTAAAGAGGTGATCTGAGTGGAGTCGAGCTCGAGCTGTGATTGAACCACATTGATCGGAAATCAACCTTTCTTTATTCAAGCTAATAAATTTCAATTCTGGGCCGTTCCTGCGGGTGGACTAAGAAGAAGGGACACTCGTGCTTGCAGAACGTAGGTAAGCGTTCAAATGTAGGGGAAAGAAACAAACTTGACAAAATTGCGCTCAAAAAACGCCTGATAAGCTGCACTTCATGGCTCGTGCCCGAGTCGAACAGGCTTCCGCCTACTTTGCGCATTGGTCGATCAACACGGAGGGTATATGTGCGAGCAGGGGACCACCGAGCCTTTCTAGTACTAGGAATAGGCCGGGTGGAGTCTAAGTTGAGCCGTCATTGAGCCATAATGATTCAACCTTTTCTATGTATATTCAAGTTAATAAATTCACTTGCAGTCCGTCCCTTCCAATGCAAGTAGGTGTTGAATGTCCATATGAATGGGAAGGCGGAAGGCGAAAACCCAACCAAAAAGACAATGAATGATCGTGGGCCATGGCTCGTGTCCGAGTCGAACGGACTTCCTCCTACTTTGCGCATGGTCTCTTGTAAATGTAGCATGTGTGAACAGGACCACCTAGCCTTTCCGGTATTAGCAAAAGTCCGAGTAGAGTCCCCCTGCGAAACAAAGAGCCCGCGCAATCAACCCTGTCATGATTGTGGGTTTGAATCGGAACGCGGAATACAGATTCAGTTTACATGTGTACACGTACAGGGTTCTCTCGACAAGCACCAACTCGAAAGGCGCGCGAAATTCGAACACAAATCAAATGCCTGCGGTAAAAAAAGTTGCGTGGATGCGATAAGGCTCGCGCACGAATCGAACAGGCAACTCCTGCTTTGCACTAGACCAAATGTACCCCACATGTGTGAGCAGGTGTGGACCCACCACCGAGCCTTTCTGGTACCATTCTTCACTTGTATATCCTCCTATCATACTAGTCAGTAAGGAGGTGATTGGCAAGGAGGTGAGTCGAGGTTGAACCACAAGGATCGGAAACAAATCGGAAACCAACGTTTCTGAATCTTTATTCGGGAGTAGGGATCCTCGTGCTTGGAGAATGTAAGTAAATGGGCCAAAAAAAAGACGCCTATCCACTCGTTCTATAGCCCGTGCCCGAGTCGAACGGACGTCCTCCTGCTTTGCGCATCCACATTCACGGGCGTATGTGTGAGCGGGGGTCCACCGAGCCTTTCTGGTACTAGTAAAGGTCTGGGGGGAGTCGATTCGAATCGGAGTCGCACGTCGTCGGACCACTGAACTTTCCAAGTCTGGATTTAGCATCGACATGTCCAGACTCGAGGGTTCTCGGCCGACCGGATCACCGCCGACGGAAGGCCAAGTTGGAAGGCGACGTTGGAAGGAGCAAAAATAAAATGCCTGCGGCAAAAGTCTAGTAGAGAACCACATTTATGGCCCGTGCCCGATTCCGAAGGCTTCCTCCTGCTTGGCGCATGCGTATCCATAGGCGTGTGTGCGAGCGGGGGACTACCGAGTCTTTCTGGTGATAGTAGAGCTCAGACTGATGTCGAATTTTTAGTTGGGCCATCGTCGAAGCACTGAACTTCCCAGTGGACATGAGCCTGGTTTCAGTTGAGTTCAGCATCTCCATATTTAGACTCCAAGTTTTCGGTCGACACCCCTGGCGTTGAACATTTTTTTTTCCTGATGTGGAAGTAAGTACTATGTTCATTCTTTCGGAACTGAACTAGGTATTCAAAACTCGAGGTATTTATGTACGTCCGAGAAATTTAGGATTTTCCACAGTTCTACAAGGTGTATTCATTTTCATGACAGATTATTTGAGAAATCAATTTTGCATACATACATAGATGAGTGTATTAGACTACACATACCCAGGAATCGGTTCGGTGGTGGACGGTGAGTCACCCCCCAAGTGCAATCCTCGGCAACCAAAAGAGTATAGTTAAATGGGACCTGCCCGTTTGATTCGGGTCTGAGCCATTCGTATACCCTCTTTTTTATTTGTTCCTAAGAGCGAGGTTTCGTCTAGTCGCACAACACTGACAATCAGAATGGGTGATATCGGCTTGGTGGCAGACAGTCTACACTTGTTCGGTACCCATTCAACAAAGCGGCCTCAGTTCTTATCATCATAAGGGTGAAAGGTGAAGCGGGACATGAGTCTGAGTGCGGGAAGGATGGAATGGGAGGAAGGAAATGGAAGGAAAAAGAGATGGACTCTGTAGGAATCGAACCAACGACCTTTCGCAGAGACCGCGCAACTTTTACGACATGCGAAGCGAACGCGCTACCAACTGCGCTAAGAGCCCTTGGCCGGAAATTGCAATGTGTCCACCCCACAGCTCCGCTGTCTCGGATGTCTTACTGACCCGGTGCGTGGGCGCTTCGTAACGCATGTGACGTGTGTGACGGAAGCTCCTTGCTCCCTCTGCCATGTTCCGCAGCGTCGCTCTCTTCGTCGCCATCGTTGGCCCTGGCGTCGCTGCGAGCTTCGACAACGACAACAATAACAATAACAACAGCCATACCTCTGCTGTTATCGGGCTCGTATTGGGTGAGCCTCTTGACTCTTTCCTCCTTTTTGATCTGATAGAATAACTTCGCCCAGCTCTCGTCTTCCTCACTCTCCTCTGTTGCGGCGTCCAGCGACGTCGAGCCCGCCAAGCCGCCCTCACCCGACCCTCATACATCCAACCCCCCTCCCGCTCACCTCCGCAAGCAGTTTCCCCCACGGGCTCCAATACGGCACGCCCCCGACTCCGTACGCACCCCCGCCAGGCCCTGCACCACCCGGGAGCGAGTACCCCGCCGCCAATGCAGCAGAGTTCGCACCGCCGCCGTATGTGAAGGAGGATACGAAGCCTGCGTATGCACCGGTGCGTTGCGTCGTCCTCCCCCTTTTTTTTGTTTCATATGTGCTGACTTGACGGGATGGCAGCCCCCTGGCCCACCACCGCCGGGTATCAACTCGCCGTACTCGCCCGTGCGTCCCCTCCCTCTCCTTGTGAATTATGTCGCTCATTACTGTATTTGACGCACCAGCCCCCCGGGCCCCCGCCGCGCGCACACATCTCGTCCAACTCGGCCGACTTCAACGGCGGATTCCGCCCCCCGCCGGCGTCATAGTACTCCCTTCTGCGCGCCTGCGCTACCTACTTTACGGACTTCCATGACATGACACGGACCTTCTCTGCTTGCTCGCTTGTATCGCTATCCCATGCAAAATGAAGCTTGTGCGTATTCTACTCATTTACTATATTCAGTCGGTGTGCGATTCGGTTTCGTCTGGGAATATACCTCGTTTCCCGCCGTGTCGTGTGTGGGAGTCAGCCGAGCTAATAACAGCACCCAACCGCGCATGGTGTGCGTGCCCGGCGGCCGGCGAACGAGCGTGGGTGAATGAATACGCGCTGCGATATAAAAGGCTCGGTGCTCTGCTCAACTCAACTCACTAAGGCGCGGTAATGCGGATGGGTTGGAGACGGCCCGTTCGACTCGGGCATGAGCCTTAATTTCAAGTCTTCATCGCCTCTTTTTTTCTTGGGGGCACTTTATTCATCTTGGTTCCAACTTCGCCTTCCGTCGGTGGTGGTGTGCTCATCTATCTAATACTTGCAGTTTATGTAAGAAAGGAGAGATGTCAACCGATTCATGGAACGAAACATCCAACGTGAAAGTCTAACGGAAAAGATCCAAACTTCAAACAAATGGTTCGAACCCGAGTCGAACAGGCACTTCTTGGTTGAAGACTACGCTTCGTTACAATTGCGAGACGTTGCCATCCACCGAGCCGGTATTCATTTTATTTGGTTTTCTACTGTGTATTCGACGGGCTGGTGAAGCCGAAGCCATTCACGATTCTGCAAAGATGAAGCTGCCCCAAATAATTACCCTTCATCCTGAGTCTAGATCCTGAGAATAAATATCAACTCTTTGGATGTCTGCAGTTTCGAAAAGACAACAGCATGAATCGGGGGAAAAAATTGTAGATCTGAACGACACCAAATAAATGGCTAAAGTGTTCGCTCTGGTATCGCCCGTTCGGTCATTCGCCAAATCCATCGGGCAGCGTACCGTCAATCGGACACCTCACGTAGCAATGTTCTCTCGAATTCGATCATCTGCTTCACGCTCTCTTGATAATTCGACAAAAGCGATCACCAAGTACTAGCCGTGGCCAGGTTTTATCAAGAAGTCAACATAGACTGCTCTGTCTTCCGCGCCCGAAGGACCTCCGCGTCATCTATAATCCTCGGTTCAAGCCTGCACACCAAAACTCACTGGCATACACTCACTATAGCTATGTGCGGTCGCTTCCCACGCCCATGGGGTCTTCCACCACCAGAACAAGAAGTGATATCCATCGAAGAATATGTACGCCAACGTAGGACACTTGGTCATGAGCTCAGCGCGCAGAACCGCAAAGTCCGGGACGTCGACAGGGCCGGGCTCAACAGGGTCGAAGTCCGGGCCTTCCCACTCGAGCGAGAGGGACTGCAAGGTGCTGGGTAGGAGGGGGTTGGAGGCGAGCATTTTAAGGAAGGATGTTGCCTGTGTGGAACATTACCTCTAAGTCAGGAAATACAAACTGCAATACTGATATGCGCACCTGCGAGATAAATCCGACGTCCCCTCCCACGCCGGACATCAGGGTGAGTTGAAGCTTGGTGAGGTTGGGAAAGAGGGTGAATAGGAACTCAACTTCCATTTCACCAAACGGAGCCAGAGAAGAGGTGGTGAAGAGTGCAGTGAGGGAGGTGATATTCGGTAATGTGGTTATGCCCTGCAGCTCGATGACGATGTGGTGGAACGGGACGCCGACGGAAGTGAGGGTGATATGAGTGAGGGTGGGCCTCGGCACGAATATGTGGAGATTGTGGTAGGCGCCAATGTACTCTTTGAGGACTGGGAATATTGATGACGCCTGCATGGGTGTCAGGTGTCGTAGAACTCCCTCATAGCCTCGGTTTCGAAAGGTGCGAAGATTAGGGAATTTATCGAAGAGTGCGACGGTGTCGGGGACGATGGGAGGGAAGTTATCGATCTCCAATGTTTGCACATTTGGGAACGGCCGCACTTCTGATCTGGCGAGAGCACGGGCTTCGGAAAAATCGAGTTCCCGGAGGGTGTCGCGGGACAGCAGAGAAATCCAGATATCGTTCATGGACTCTTCGGCTGCTTTGACGAAACTCGTGACGCGCAATGTCCCTACAACAGGATCTATGTGCTCTCGGGGTGCGACCGAGCACCCAAAGATACCCACATGGGTGAGTCCAGGTAGCCCACACAGGTTGGTGATCCCGGTCTGTGTGAATCGAATCTGGGCGGCTTCAAATCGCTTCAAACCGGTGAAGCGGGGCAGGCGTTCGAAAAATGTGTTCATCAGGACGTGCGGGGGGTCATTGTCTCCCGGCCGGCGTAGATCCCTGCCATAGGCGCGTGTTTAGCTCAGCGATGCACGAACGCACGTGTGGAGCTATTGTGGGCGAGGTCCAGAAGCGCAGCCGTTCCAGGGCGTCCTCGAGCTGCGCCTTCGGGGGTTGGAAATCGTACCGATACGTCGAGAGATTAACGTCGATGAAACCGAGCGGGCGGCCGATGTCGTACAAGGTGCGGTGGGTGGAGGAGAGACTTCTGCGGGCATCTGCGGGAAGCTGAGCGAACACCTCCAGCCACAATTCGTTTGGAAATCTGAGCTGCAGATCCATGGATGTCAAAGAGTACGTTCAGAAAGCAAAAGCGAAGGGAGGGACGAGTCAACTAAGATTATTCGGGTGGGCCCGAGAAGCTGTCACAAAGGAATCGACTGTGAACTGGAAGATTGAGCGAGATCGTGTGAGACGTAAGCAGATGTCAAACTGATGTGTTCATGTTTTCCATTGTTTACTCCTTGTTTGCGCCTTCCTATTTTCGAAGCCACGTTGCCTACTGTACTCTGTGCCGTTCGTTCCGTGCGGTCATAAGTATTCACCACCGAGCTGGTATTCCTCGCCCTCAGTTCTTCGTGTGGGTATCTAAAAACTTTTGAGGTCACGAATGATCCTGGAGCGGCTGAAGCGGACGGCGGCACCCAGGGTGGCGCACAGAGACCAACAGTACTTATGGAATTTCAGGGCGGCCAGGCGATCCGACAAGGCGTTGGCGCAACCGAAGCAGGTCAAGAACTACTGTAGTATTTAAATCACTTCTCCTGGGCTGTGACCTGTGACCGCAAGATTCGAACTTTGGGTTTCGAAAATGGGGTGACTTGACCGTGACATCCAAAAAACTTCGAAAATCTGTTAGAATCAGACGGCCGGTCCCACTGAGGAACACTGGTTCTAGAGAGATGATCCTTGTGCACACACTAATAAAATAGCTACACTAGCTCTGAGACCTTCAGAAATTGCCTAGATTACACGGATTTTAGGGATCCATCAGCTCGATCGTGTCAAAATTGGCATGTAGTGGGAACTCGAAGGCTGCGAACACGGAAATACCTCGAAATACGCTTGCTACGCGCCGCGGGCATGAAAAACGGTTTTTGGGGGCCTTTTTGCTGTTTTTGTGACTGGTTTTGAACCTTCGAAAATCTCCTGGGTGACCGTGACAGGTTCGAAAATTTTCGAAAATTTTGGGCCCTGTGACCTGTGACATTCGAACTGATTTAAATACTACAGTAAACGGGCCTCTACGCACATCTACGCAAGGCCGATTGGGAGCGAGGAGAGGCGTGTGTAAGCTATACGGACTGGGCGGGGACCCACGACGCTGGTGGTAAGATCTAGCGTTTCGTCTGGATAGACTCGTCAGGTGGCTATGTCCCCAATATTACCACAGACTTTTTGGGGAGGATGCCGAAGGCATCCTCAACAAAATAAAGCTTATACTTTGAGTCGCGGAATACAGGGGATTCGACGCGCTTTCCTCAAGGTATATAATATTCTCTCAGAAGCTCAGAGTGCTAACGAAAGGCGTTACACGTCGCCAGTCTACGACTCCAAAAGAGCATCCGAGTATCTTAACACCCGAGTTACGAAGCCGCGACCAGGACACCCATTAAGGTGCGTAAAAGATTGGCGCTAGCATCGATATCGGTAGTCTTTCAACAGAGGCTCTGCAAAGCATGCTTGTTGGCGTACCCGAAGGCCGACGACTCAAAGTAAAAAAGATATGAATATTAGACTGCAAGGTAAGACTCTGTATTTTTTCGAAATCCGAAGGCACGCGCCGCAGCCGAGTGCGACCCGCAGGGTCGCGCGCGGCGCGTGTCGAGGATTGAGAAAAAAGAGCCTTAAACTTGAGCCACAAGCCCCTTGTGATAATCTTC